ATTTGAATATTGATTTATGGTTAAGAATTCCTTTACTTGCCTTCTCCTCTCATTTCAGATTCTTTCACTTCCTTTCTCTCTTCCTTTCCCCCTCTCTTCCCCATTTCAAATTTCTTTTCTTTTTCCACTAAATTAAAATAAAGATAAACATTATTCTCATTATTTCTGTATGGGGATGATTTACTTTTCAGTGGGTTGCTCTAGGGAATCCCAGTTTTACAGAGGAGTCTCCAACCAGCTCATTTACACACTTTAATTCCAGTTATTGTCTCACTGGTGACATTATAGTTCAGGTCTAGACCATACTAATTTGGAATGGATCCTCAGAATAAACACCAGTTCTTGAAACTTTCTAAAACGAGGTTCTAATTTCACCAGCTCTGGCACATTCAGTTGTAGGTTTTATACTTTACATGGTATTTTAAATTACATTCTCACCAAAGAATTTTCTACAAATGTTTAGACTGCCACATTGCTAGAAATAGAAGTTAGCAATCGTTATCTTAAAAGGTTTGCCAATCTGTTGTTAAAAGTGTTTGTGATGCCTAATTATAAAAACATTGCTCTCCATAGGGGGAAATTTTAATTGGGGGCTAAAGCAATAGTGCAGTATTTTTATTAAGCATTCCAAAAAACTGGAAAATGTGTTGCTGATTTGTTATTTTTTATAAGCTTAGAAATTACTTATAAATTTTATCTTATATTTGTAGACTTGAGGGCTGACATTCCTTTTGTATTTCAACTATAAAGTGACATGGGTTTTTAAGCATTTGTGCTGGAGTAATTCTTGCATCTTCTAGCTACAAGACAATAATGGATTTATTGTCTTGTATTTATGAGTGCTGATAAGGTTCTAAATTCTACTCTGCTATCATTGTCCCTGCTGTGAAATGAATGCCTACTTTAAAACTACCCAAATAGAGACTGATTGCTACTATGAACAAAGAAGACTATTCATAGAAATAATCTTCCTCCTTGTCATTATGAGTAGCAATGGAGACAAGAAGCCATACTACATATACGATACTGTAAAAGTCAGTCCTTCAGTGTAATCCGGTCACAGGCACTAAACATTTCACTCACTTCCATGTTCATCATTTAGCCACTTAACCTTTCAGCCATTCAATTCTGTCTCTCTGCAGACATAGCTATTTGACGTTTCCAAGCAAAACACATCTTTTCTCGATATTCATTAGTGTCCATCAGAATATACTTTTTTATATAAAAAAATAAGACTGTGCTGAGATGGAATGCCAGAAACATCCTGTTTCTCTTGGTAATGGAGAAATGGCACCAATGGGACTTTACAAGGGTGGACCCCATGTCTTTTAGAAGCAAAGTGATTCATTTGACAGGATAATGAATTGGTTGCATTTCTTGGGGGAAAGATTTGCAAAGAATTTCTTTTCGATGCATAGGCAATTTAGAAAATGTTGTGAAAGGATATGAAAAGAAAGAATAAAGAAGTAGGCTAGTTTAATACAAATAGATTCCAGTTGGAAATGTGAACACACAATACTTGAATAACTTAGCAAAAAATTTTCTCTAGGAATGACATATACTTGAGATAAATATTGTTACCATAGAAAATTAGTTTTATTATCTATTTAGAATCTTATTGAGGATTGGATAAAAAAATCAAATCAGGTAAAAAAGTTGTTTTATGAAATTCACATCTTCATAATAATAGCCTAAACTTTATTCACTTCTTTTTGTGTTTATAAAAATAGTGAGAATAAGTGAATCTGGACTTAAATATATAACCACACTCTTATCCTTATCAATCAGTATTTGAGACAAAGGCATCATATTTTATAAGCAGTATACCCAATGTTGTACATAGTTATCCTTAGACATTCCGCTCTATGGCAAGATGAAGGTCATTGTGTTGTATGTTCAAAGTATAGGTGTTCAATGTGAAAGGGTTTTGGGACTGAACTGAGTGTCTCAGTTCAGGAAAGCAGCATGGATGGGTAGCTTATAAACAAGGGAAATATTATTCTCACAGTTCTGGAGCTTGAAGTCTGAGATCAGTGTGCTAGTACTCTTGAGCTC